TATTCACGTGTGTACTTAATCTTGAATTATTTATTCCAGCTCAGTTATTATTGTGTCAAATAATATTGAAAAATATTGTAGCAATTGGATATGGAAATTCATTGTTTATTTTCACAATTTCATTTTATTTTTAAAGCAAATTATTTATTTACAATACATACGTTGAGCCGCGAAAACATTTGAAAATTTGGAATTTTAAAACAATTGGAAATTTTATTTTATTTAAGAAATTTTTTTTTAATTACTTTTTTTTTTTTAATTAATTTTATTTTAATTTACCAGCATGTATACCATTCAAGATTAAAAAAATATCAACTGCTGCAACTGATTAATTTCATAATGATAATAATAATAAATATAATTACTGATAACTTTTTTTATCAATTTATATATTATAAAAAAAGAATCACTTAATCAAAAAAAAATAAATCTAGTGAAAAGTAATTAATTAAATACCACAGTTGTGTGAAAAAAAATTACTCCAATATTATTGGCATCATTCTTATAATATTATGGGAATGGTTCCCATAATATTATAGGAATGGTTCCTATAATATTATGGAAACTATTCCTATATATTATGGGAACCATTCCTATATATTATGGGAATCATGCCGATATTACAGTTTTAATTATAGGTATCGTTCCTATAATTATAGGAACCATTCCCATAATTATAGTAACGTTTCCCAAAAATTATGGGTATAATTCCCATAATTTAAGTGATTGCTCCTAAAATGGTATAGGAAAATATTTCATTAAAATTATAGGAATGATTTCCATATTTTTCTCTCCGTGTATGGTTATCGTCGGAACTAGAATGAAAAAAAAAAAAATATTTGAAAAAATGGCGCGTAGTTAAAAGTACGAATCTGAAACTCGTTTTCAGAAAATACTATATTTTCAGAAAATACTACCCATACAAAAAATGATGATCGGCCCGATACTGGGCCAAGACTGGTAACCGATCTTTAAGTATCGGCCGAGTACCGTGAAATATCGTTGGGCCTAGACTGGGCGAGCATCGGATGGTAACACCCAGCCGATATAGGCGACTGAGCGTCGGCCGAACATAGTAACCAAGCATTGGCCGAGCATCGGCCAAGCATAGGCAAAAAAATCGAATTTTAGGTAAAATAATAAAAAAAATTTTTTTTTCGTTGTTTACTTTTGAATTATTATTATTCTGAGGTGATGGATTACTGGCTGATAGAAATTAATTCTGAAAAAATTCGGATGTGAAGGGATTTGAACCTGGTTCGTCTGCGTGGAAGTCTCGAACGGTGTCACGGGCGCTGCTAACTGATCTGAATGTCGTATGCTTAGTTGAAGAGAGAGCTCAAATGCATCGAAATATTATCTTTTCGAACTCAGTGAGCTCAAAATATCACATAAATTATATTTTGAGCTCAAAAATGTCATAAGTACAATTTTAAGCGCCCAGGTATGGAATTAGCGGGAAGTTGCAGGGATTTTCTAATTTTTTTGAATTAAATTTATTACTAATATATTTATTTTCATCCATAAGTTTTTTAAAAATATTCACCGACAGTTTTACGAGAAAAATACAGAAATGTATCAATGTTTGGAGGTTACCCCATAAGACCAATGTTAAATTGCTCAACTTCAAAGTTAATTATTTATTTAAATAATCGGGCAATCTATTTCAAATTTTCGGAATTTGCTTAGACATATTTAAACTTCATATTAAAAAAAAAATCAAGCCTTTTATCAAAAGTTGTCTTGGTGCTCGTACTTCCTTAACTTCGAAATTAGCTACCCGTGTAAAAAAAAATCGTCTTAAAATTGTCTTAAAATTGTCGTTCGTTTAAGATCTTAAACGTAACATAAACTAAGACTATTTTAAGACTCTTTTAAGACGCCAAAAGAAAAATTCCGAGAGCGGATTTTTGAAAATTTTGTTCTCGAATTTGTTGTGAAAATTAATTTTTAGATGATTTTACGACTTTCTAACCGCAATATTTTTGAGTAAGATGTTTTTAAATTAAATTTAAAATTGTTAAAAAATTATTATCTGACAATTTTAAGACTTTTTTAAGACGTTCCGTTTTAATGTTCCGGGGCTCTGTCGCTGTTAGCCCATCTTAAAATAGTCTAAACTTTTTGTTAAGATTTTTTTAAGACTAATTTAAGATAATTTTGAGACAATTTAAAGACGCTCCATAATAATTTTCCGGAGCTGTCACTGTGATGTTATCTGAAAATAGCCTAAAAAAATTTTTAATATTTTTTTTTCAGATTTCTTTAAGATTATTTCAAGATTTTTCAAGACTATATAAAAATTATTTTAAAATTTAAATCTTAAAATAGTCTTAGAAAAATCTTAAAATCGTCTTGAAAAAATCTTAAAATAGTCTTAAAATAGTCTTAGTTTGTGTCACGTTTAAGATCTTAAACGAACGACAATTTTAAGACGATTTTTTTTTACACGGGTAAATTCCTCAAATTTTGAATATTTAACATATTTTAATTCGTATGATTTTGACTTTCACGTTCATAAAACGATAAAAAATTAATTCTTTGGCCACGGGCCATCTTCGTATCACATTCACTTCGAAACGAATTTATTAGCAGTAAAAAAAGTAATTTATGTCGTAAACAGTTCACTACATGATGCTTGATGTTAAATTTCATTACAATATGATAGTACTAACGAGCCAATATTTATAAATAATAAATTTAGTCTCCACAAAATTTACGTTCATTAAATACCATAATAAATCAAAAGCAGCTGCTTATAAACATGTTCAATACAAATATCTATATTCTATATTTTAAATAATCTAAATAACTTTTTAAGTATGTTTATCTTCTGGTTGCGTTACAGTCCCCGTGTAAAAAAAATTTGTTCCTAAGGGATGCCTCAGGAATCCCGCATCAGGAACGTCCCGCTCGTGAGACGGACAGGAACTATGAGCGGAAGATTGACGGGACATATTAAAATATTGAAAGTAGCCGAACGAGTCTTGAAAACCTGAAAATGATTTACGAGAAAATTCAGAGTAGTTTCAGGTGTTATTTCGGAATATAAAAAATTATAAAAGTGCCGCGGAAATTCCTGCAAATAACCTGAGGCTAAATTTAGGATAGTTTTAAGTACTTTTGCGGAATACAAAAGTAATAATAGCACCTTTAATAATTAAAGTAATAATAGCACATTTAATAATTAAAGGAAGTTTCAGGTTCTTCTTCGGAATATAAGAAATTATAGAAGTACCGCTGAAATTCCTGCACATGACCTGAAGAAAAATTCAGGATAGTTGCCGGTTCATCTGTGGTATAAATAAAAATATGTTGAGTACCGCTACGATTCTTGCAGATGATCTCTGGGATAATTTAGGGGAGTTTTAGGTTTTTTTTCGGAATATAAAAAATTATAAAAGTGCTGCTAAAATTCCTGCAAATAATCTGAGGCTGAGTGTAGGATAGTTTCAAGTACTTTTGCAGAATAAAAAATTAATAATAGTACCGCTGAAATCCCTGTAAATGACCTGAGGGCTAATTCGGGGTAGTTTCAGGTTCTTTTGCGAGATACAAAAATGATAAAAGTACCGCTGAATGTCCTGTAAATGACCTGAAGAAAAATTCAGGATAGTTGCCGGTTCATCTATAGTATAAAAAAAAAATAAGTAAAGTACCGGGCCACTACCATTCTTGCAGATGATCTCTGGGATAATTTAGGGAAATTTCAGGTTGTTTTGCGGGACACAATAATGATAAATGTACCGATGAAAGTCCTGCAAATGACCTGTGGGATAGTTTAAGGAAGGCTCAGGTTCTTCTTCGGAATTTAAAAATTTATAGAAGTGCCGCTGAAATTCCTGCAAATGACCTGAAGAAAAATTCAGAATAGTTGCCGGTTCATCTGTAGTATAAATAAAAATAAGTAAAGTACCGCTACCATTCTTGCAGATGATCTCTGGGATAATTTAGGGGAGTTTTAGGTTTTTTTTCGGAATATAAAAAATTATAAAAGTGCTGCTAAAATTCCTGCAAATAATCTGAGGCTGAGTTTAGGATAGTTTCAAGTACTTTTGCGGAGTACAAAATTGATAATTGTACCGCTGAAATCCCTGTGAATGACCTGAGGGCTAATTCGGGGTAGTTTCAGGTTCTTTTTCGGGATACAAAAATGATAAAAGTACCTCTTAAAGTCTTGCAAATGGTGTTTCAGGTTCTTTTTCAGAATATAAAAAATTATAGAAGTGCCGCTGAAATTCCTACAAATAACTCTAAGTAAAATTGCGGATAGTTACCGGTTCATCTCTGGTATAAATAAAAATAACTTAAGTACCGCTACCATTTTTGCAGATGATCTCTGGGATAATTTAGGGGAGTTTCAGGTTCTTCGGAATATAAAAAATTATAGAAGTGCCGCTGAAATGCCTGCAAATGACGTGTGAGATAATTTTGTGTAGTTTCAGCTTCTTCTACGAAATATGAAAAATAACAAAAGTGTCACTATGTTCTTACAAATGACTGAAGAGATGATTGGGGACATAGTGAGTCTTTTTATTGATATTTATTATTTACAGCACTACTTAATTAATATAATTATGGTTTATTAACATAAATTATTATTATTTTTACTATCAACGACTCGACAAACAAAAACGAAACATATTATAGTTTTCTAGAGCTGGGGCAAGTGGGAAGAATACCACAAATAAAATTATCTCATTTATTTTTAATCTTAACAGATTACTAATTAACGGCTTAATTAAAAACAAAAAAAAAATTTACGTGAGTTAAAATGTCAAAAAAACACAATGCAAATTATGGCAATTGCCATAGCCGCAACGAGAGCTTGAATTTTATGTTTGTTTATAATAATTTAATGCCTGATGAGATACAATAGCGAGTGACGAGTCATAAAATTCACTGACAGCTTATCATTTTTAAAAAAACTCTCTGTTGTTTACAGGCTCCATTACATAAAACGAATTATTTTCTTTATCTTTTTCAATATAATAACATACTAGTTCTAGTTTCGAAATTTCTACAGCAATCATGGCTTTGTCAGATCTCCTACCAATAGAACCGATGTTGAGATGCTCATTACTGATAACAGCATTATCGACCGTACATTCATTAATAATCGCATAATAGCTAGAGTTTTTTTCACAATTTTCACATGAATCTTTGCAATAGCACCTGCATAATTTTACAAAAGTATTTATTATTCCCAGATTCATTGAATTATTCGATTCATAGACAACTACGTATGAAATTGTTTTTCTCTTTCTTTTATAACTCTCCGAGTCAAACTCTACTCCATTCTTCAACAGGCGGTGAAATTCATAGCATTTTTGGAAGACGGTAATGCCGATATTTTTGAATATATTTTGAAAATTTAGGGGTAAGTTCTTTATTAAACAAATTTTCCCAATGATAGAAGAGTTTTCGTTTATAGGTGTTAGTTTTCTCCGATGTAAAACATTTTTTTCAAGTTCATAGCACAAATTAGATACCTCTGTACCTTGCCGCAAATATAAATCTTTAAAATCAGATACATTAGAAAAAATAGAGATCACTTTCGAAATTTGCAGCTGCGAGTACCGAGTGCCATGGATCAACCTTTTCAAAATACCATTTAGATTCTCAAAAGGGAAACAAGAAGTAATAAATAGCGGGCCAAAATTCATCACGTCATCAGGTAGATGGAGTAACTGGTGTAAATTACACGTTAAATATTTGCGGTCGTAAAGGTTTTCAAATTTACTTACATATTCATTTAGTACTTTTGATGCTAACTGAATCATACCTTGTGAAACACTCGATTGATTTAATAATGATACTCCGAGCACTAGCAGCATATGATGATCATAATGAGCTTTTGACATAATTGAATCCAAAACAGCTACAGAGTAATATAAAAGCCAGCACTGAAGTTCTGATGCTTTCCAATACTTGAAATCACTGACTGATCTTGGCAATCGAACTGAAAAATTTGGAGGTTTGATACTTTTAATTTTCTTATCAATAGCTGCAATATGATCTCTCATTGAAAAATTTTCACTGTGGTATTTTGAATCAAACCATAAACTCATCAATTTCTTCGTGATTCCTAAGTAAATACAGTGCATAGAATCAACTACTGTATTCTCAACAAAATTATAGGCAATTTTTGAAAGTGTAGTGGGTCCTTTAACTCCGTCGATGGGTTTTCCACTTAAAAAAGCTCGTTGACCTTCTTGAGTAGTTATCGCAGATGATCTCAGAGGTAAAGCATTTGAGTAAGGGAATATTCTAAAATTACCTAATTTTTCACTCTTAATTTTGCATTTGCAGCAACCATAGATACCTCGATGACCTTTCATGTTGAGGAAACCAGCTTTTGCTGGTAAATCGCATGTGCCGCAGATGATCATTCCACGAATTTTGACAGGATTTTGATGGCCAGGAATACTAACAAAAATGCCGTTATAAATTCTTTCAAGGTTATGTCGAAATGAATTCATGAAAAGATTTGCTTCGGGTTTCTTAGGACCAAACCAAAAGCCAGCAACAAGTAGATTTTTTAGTTGGGATCGGAGATGAAAGGGTAGTTCATTAATTGTTAAGAAAAAAGGCCATATACTGAACTTTGACGATTTATATAGAGATATCCCATCGGTATTCCACGTAAATGAAATATTGTTTCTAGATGACAAAAATCCATTGTTTTCACTTAAAGATTTATAAACATTTCCGTCCCAAATATCTTCATAATCATTAGGCATTCGTTTCTGACGAGTAAATTTTGTATTTAGCAAATTGTAAAAACCATCACGTTTGAAGATTTTTAATAATTGGTTAATAAGTGGAATTTCAATAAAATAGCATATGTCAGAATCCGGGCAATTTTGACATTTGTCTTTTGATTTTAAGAGCGACACACAATCCGAACAGAAATAATGACGTTTAAATGGGAGATCTAACCTACTAAATATTTTTTTAAATTTGTATAATGATTTTATGCACAAATTAGGTAGACTGCAATGAATACGAATGATTTTTAAAATGTCTTTCAATACCACTGAACTTAATTTATGACGTATTATTAGCAATAATATTGATAAAATACTTTCGCCACAAGATAATGGTGCACTTTCGTACAACGGTGAATCCAGATTTTCGTTATTGTTGGGCAACCCATTTTCCATGTCGTCATCAGAATCAGTGTCATTCTCACTTGCACTGCTCTCTTCAGAACTAGAGCTGCCATCAAATTCTCGACTGCTTTCAGAATCGTCATCCGAATCCGTTTCATATATTTCTTCATCATTAATATCACGGTTATTTCTAATATTCTCAGCTTCCTCAAATCCGTGATCAATGTTATCATCATCTAAATATATTTTATCATTTATTGAATGTACTTTATCATTTCTTTACTTGTTAGATTACTTACAGGCTGGAATTATCAACTTATAAAAGCTACCAATTATAAACATTGATAAAAAACTAGAAATACACCAAAATAAAGTAAAATCGTATAAAATACAAACAATTCAAAGAATAAATTAAAAACGATCAGCTTAAACAAAACTTCATCATTTCTTTGTCAAATCTACACAGAAAAAAAAAATTTCTTGACTGAAGAACAAAATTATTGGCTCAAGAAAATTTTCGGGTGCCTGAAGGAAGACCGGAATTGTGTTGGCCGAAGTAAAAATTTTTCTTGAAATTCTATTCTTCGTGGAAGTAATTTTTTCTTAATTCAAATTATCATAAATACTTGATACCATAAATTTTTATATTTGATCAAAATTTTTAGATACTTTAAGGAAGCAGCGCCACCTACTTCAGCTGAGAAAAAAATTTTCTCATCTTGAGAAAATTTTTCTCTTGAATATTTGATACCCATTTTATATTATTTTAGCGTGCAATTATACATATTGAATGAAAACAAATGATTCAATATTATTTGATTTTCCCATTTGACATGTTAATCAATAAAAATATTAATGAAAATTTACTTCTGTCGAGTTATTTAATTTTTTGGAGCAAGAGAGAAATTTTCTCAAGACAAGAAAATTTACTTCTATGAAGAACTAAATTTTTTGGAGCAAGAGGCTGAATTTTCTCAAAACAAGAAGATTTTCTTGACTTAAATAAATTTTCTTGGATCTAGATATGTATTTCTTAAAGCAAGAGAATTAATTTAGTTGGAATAAGTGAAATTTCTTGTGTCAAAAAAAAATTTTTTTTTGCTCAAGAAAATAATTAGGAAGAAAAATATTTTCTTGGCTTAAGTGAACCTTTTTTTCTGTGTATATTTAAGCAAATCATGTTTTTATATTTATTTTAACCCTCAGTATTCACAATTAACAGCCTTCATAGGTTGTCAAGTCCAAAGGAACCTAACAAGTAAATAAATGATAAAATACATTCAATAAAAGCGTTTAAGATGAAAAAAATTAAGATTTATATCAAGATATCAAAAACAATGATCAAGGTAGTTGTTGTGGTTAAGGCATAGTGTTAGAAAATTCTAAATTTTTGTATACTTATTAAGGACATGATGATACAAATTACCCTTAAAATTTGAAGTCGATTGACCACCTCGACTGCCCAATTTTAAAACACAGTAACTGCAAAATTTTTATACCTATTTTTTTTAACAATGCTGCATTTTTTATAACTTTTAGATGTTAATTTCAATTATTTTTTCTTAAAATTATTTATATTCAAGTATTTTCTACTCATGAATCAAAGTTTTCATCAATTTGGCAGGCAAATTTTTTTTTCAATAAGAAAAATTAAAAAAAATTTCTCCGTGTTAGTTACTGGTGTTTTGAAATTGGGCAGCCGACCTATAACTCGAGATGAATTCAATTAAAAATTGGATATTTAACATTAATTGCATACACTTTCTGCAGTTCTGTACCAAGTTCTTAGTTATAAAAAAAAATTAACGGTCAGAAACTTTAAAAAAACTAAAAAACAGCCTTTTAATTTATTTGTTGTGAGTTTAAAATAAAGTTAAAACAAGTCTTTGACCGTATAATTATTTATATACAACGGATTAAAGATATAGATTGTATCTATATATATGAATAATGTATAGTTTACGTCTCCATGGGTACAGTCTTGCGTAAAAATTATGAATTACTTAGCTAAAAATTCATATACTTTTTCGGCGCGTATAATCTGTAATTTTTTGAATATATTGTACCACAACAACTACCTTAAATACGTGGATTTAAGATTTTAATGTGCGAGATAGTAACTGTTAATATCGTGATAGTAATCATTACTATTGGAATGATAACTAATACTACTATCACGGTTATAAATACCATCAGCTGTATTGTAACTGTTACCACAATCAAATTTTTGTCAATAAAATATTAGGATAGTGATTATTTAAATTTTATATTAATAATCACAACCATAAAATATTTTCCACGCATAAATATCATGTGCAAAAAAAATGGAACATATTTTTGAAAGACACTCACAAACATTATTGGCATCTTCTTCACTGAGACTTTCATCGTTCTCATTTTCATCACTTCTATTGCAATTGGTGTTATTAAATGACCTGGTCGGTCGACCTAAATAGATATTTTTTTTTTTAATAGTATCGTGCAATACAAACTTCTAAAATTTTTAGATGAAAAAAGGAAGAGGGCGGTAGGAATAAAAATGTTAAGTGCCAAACATTTTTCAGACTTTCAATTAAAATATGAAAATGTTCTATGGTATAAAATTACACAAAACATGATTGGTAAACACTATCACAACTTTTTAAAAGTAAAAACATTACATCTGGAGACTATACAGACTGACTTTAGGGTTTTCGGAGTACAATAGGTATCGATGACTTTCGATTAGCTCCTGCAGGAGCTATAGATGAAATATTTTCAATTTTTTTTTTAATATTTAACGCCCCCGCACGGCCCTCAGTGGGTAGAATTTTGTAAAATGTATTCTCAGTTGCGCTCGAAATGACAAAAATAATACATTTGCCAAATTTCAAACCTGTAGGGATTTAACACTCCCACTTCCAGAAATATCGCGATGAGTGACTATGTCTATAGAAAAAGAAAATATATATATATATATATATATATATATATATATATATTCTTCGGTCAACTTAATTTTTTATCAAACGCACCGAAATATGCTCATGAGTAAATTGTTGAGCTCTTCAAGCTTAATGTATGACGAATCTGAACTTCCCAAGGTTAGATGCTAACGATTTTTTTTTATCTGTTGAATGCGAAAATTCAAAGATGTTCATTAGACCCTCGAGAACCTAAAAAAATCATTGAAAACGCCATACTCTGGAAGCCCTTATGTCTGCCCTTAAAAATATCATCCTTTTCAAAATTATTATTTTTTGTGGGTCATAGAAGACCTGGTGAAATAAACAGATGTATCAGAATCTTTTTTTGGATTTTTAAATGCATAAAAAAATATATTTTTTGATTGCTGATATAAGGTCTTACGGGATACGAAAAGTCCCGGTGATTTCTTTTTTAGTTCCTCTGGGATCTAATGAATGTCTCTGAATTTTTTCGCATTTAACAGACAAAAAAAAATTCTTTCGCATCCAACGCTGAGAACTTCAGACTTATTTTTAAATTTATGCAAGGTTTTTATTGATTGGTCGAAAAACGTCTAAGGTATCGTGAGAAAAAAAAAACTTTTTTTGGGAATTTTTGAATAGCTGTTACTTATGAACGCGTTATTTTATTTTCCGTTTTAAAACTGCATTCGATATGGTTTTTCGAGGACAAAAAGTTTTGTCATATTTCGTTTTTAAGCCTCTAAGTTATCTTTGAAAAACGTAAAAAAAATGCGGATTTTTTTTCTGTTTGACAAAATTTTATTAACACACACGACCGAACGTTTCGACGGGAGTCGTCAGAATAGGTTTCTTGTGCCTCCAAACGTGAAGATCTGATCAAAACTCGATTTTCGAAAATCGGACCGAAATCAATAACTTATCAGACTTTCGAAAATTTTCAAAGCGAAAAGTTATAAAAAAATTAATATATTAGCTTACAATTTTGATTAATTTCCCTGGGTTGTCCCCTTTTAGAATTTATGCGATCAACTTCTTCATCGGACGAACTATCATCTCTCTCTTGGCTGTTTTTCAGAATTCTATATTGTGATGAACGTGAATATAATTGAAACTTTTTCATTTTTAAATACTAATATTTTAAAAATTATAATTACATAAATTAAAAAATCATTTATATTTCAGAATTTTATTATAATTTTTTAATTAATGTTTATTTATATGGCAACGGTTTTTTTTTATTTTAAATACAAAATATTATAATAAAACTACATAAATAAATAAACAATGAACAAGCCTAACTTCATTGCGTGATTCATATTACTTAATAAATTTGTATAACTTCATGTTAACAACTTCACATTGTTTATTCTGTATAAAAATCAAAAATTCATTTAATTGAAGAAGAATAATATAAGGATTAAAAAAATAAATAAATATTAACTCTGAATTATTTACATATTGTTAAAAAGTGAGAAATGTATTCTTTAGTGTATTGGATTTCAACAAAAAAATGTTCCGTCATCGAAGCTGATGATATTAAAGACGATAAAAAACGGGGACTTGTAGCTCAGCGAGGGAAAAATTATTATCCGGTTAAAGTTATTAAACAAAGCAGTAAGTTTATCGTAATAAATTATCATTTTAAATATAAAAATTTTTGAAGGTTCAAAATGTTAAAAAATTTTTTTCTATTGGATTATTCAACTCTTTCCACTTCCTAAGCCTAAAAATAAAAAAAAATCCTCAGCACTCTTTCAACGAAAAAAAAGTTTTAGAAATTCTCCAACTCAAATTTTAAATGATTAATCACAAATTAATTGCCTTATGTACATTAATTTTAGTTTATTTTTTTCAAGCAAATTTTTTTATTAAATTTTAAAAGCATACTTTTATTATTTTTTTCTATTGCGTTATTGCGGCTATATTTAAATGTATTATTATTATTTCGTTTAACAATAAATTTATAACTTATTTGTAACTACAGAATTTAAAAATTTATTGGAGAAAATTGAAGTCGATTCTACGGGAAAAATTGTTGAAAAAACCAAGAGAAAATATATAAAAAAATCAGATAAATCTAAGCCCAAAAATGAAGCGGATTCAACAGTAATTTCGAGTAAATCAATCTTTAACGGTGTGTCGCCTAATTCAGAAGAAAACCAAAATAATTCAACAAACAACGAACCAAATAAAAAAATAACGGTAGTAGAAGATAAAGTTATCCAAAAAAACATCAAAATGATTTCGGAGAAACCAAATGAAGTAATTAAAAATTTTCATTAATCTTCTACTTTTCTATTTATTTATCAGTTCAATTTTTAAATTGATTTATCATTATTATATATTATAACTACGCGTTGCTCAATTACTTATAATTTATTTAAAAATATCTAAAAATAATTTTAAAAAAAATGTAGCAGTTAAAACTGAGTTTGTTTACTGTCACATCGTAGTGCCCGGGAGAAATGACCAGTACTTCTTTTATTTTTCGATCTGTTGTAAAGATGTCACTGAAATTCATAGAAATTTCCTCGCAAATCTTACAAATGTCCTTCTACTTTAGTTCGTTTTTTCCTGATTGTCCGGGTAAGATGGCCACAAGTTGAATAGTGCATCTTATAAACTTGTTAGTTAATTTTGGAGTTAGAATACTTGAAAATGATTATCTTGACAATGAAAATACAAAAAAAAATAACAAAACCGAGCAGCTTTTTGTGATCACTTTATATGTCAAGCTCGTAACTTAGACATGATATGATTTAAATGAACAAAGTCAACGTATTCATCTATTCTTGTTTGTTTTGGATAAAATTTAACTAACACCTGTTGCTTGTTTTAAAATAAGGTAAACTTAATTGAAAGTATACTATAGTTCCGTTTTTTTTATTATTATTAGTTGAATTTTTTTCGGTTGATCATTTCTCCCCTATGGCGATCGCAACGGGAATTACCCTAAAAAATTATTCAAACGTAGTGATATCTTGTAAAGATTTAATTATTTATTTAAACCGAACTTTATTTCTATTACTAAAACTTATTAAAAAAATTATTCAATTTTTTCTCTCCAAGCACTCAAAAACCTGTGTAGAAAACAGTTCAAAAAAAATTGATGGATTTGAAACAGAAAAAAAAATAATGACTAACGATGACAGTGAAGAAGATCTGTCAAATTTACCAGCCCCTAATAATTTTAAATCATCCATTAAAAATAATAAAGATCAGAAAAAATTGCTGAATGTAAGTAACCTATTAGTAATGACTGTAAAAGTGTCAAAATCTTTCAAAAATCAACATTAAGTTAGTTTATGTAATCGCACTATTACAGGATTATTAGTGCCCCTTTAAATGCCGCAAATCGAGTTTTGATTTACGGGAATGTAGATTTTGTTTTTATTTAAATATTATCAAAGTCATGGAAGAATAGTATTTTACTATCCTAGATATGTAATATACTATTCTTTTATTTATGGAAAATATACATAAAGTTATAAGCGGTTATCTAGAAATAAATCCCGTCTAGCGGAGGGGAGAAAGTTAGTTCAAAAAATATTTGATACTTAAGTTATTCAAAATAATTATTTAATACATCAATCTTTTTAAAAGGAATCCAATAAATTTGGGGATGATAAAAGTATAAACGGCAGTAGTTGTGAGGATGATAATACAAAATATATACCTGAAAATAACCACATCCATGGATTATCAAAAAAGGTATAACATTACATCAGTATAATTTTATGTTTTTATTACTCTGCTAGCTTAGTTATTAACAAATGCTTTATTGATGAAGAAGTTTAAGAGAGCTTATGTGTACTCGTCTGATTCGGAGAGTGATGAATTGAGCAATGGGGAAAAATCTATCCAAATCAAGGATAAATTTATTGAAGAAACGAAGAAAAAGGTATCAAATTTTGCACACTTGAAAAGAAAGACTATTGTTATAATTTTTACGCAGATATTTTTTTGACATAATGACGGAAAATTTTAGTGTTTTAATGGAAAAATATTTTTTTTTGCTCCACGGACCGGAAGCGTCAACTTTCGGCCCGCTGCGCTAAACAAAGTTGCCGCTTCTTGCCTTCGTTGAGTAAAAAAAATTATCGGTTTATTCGTTCGTGAGACATCGTTGTCGACAAAATTCAAATATGTAAAATTGACATATATTTTTTCGATTTAGTCTTTTGTGCAGTATGATTAAATGATATATGAAATTTCAATTATAGACTTTTCAGTCTCAAAAAGCTCTTCATCCCAAAAAGTTAGCAAAAGTCACTAAGTCAGGAGTTAACAACGAAGATGATGCGATTCCATCCTGCTCTTTTCACAACCTGCCTCCAAAAAATCTTGACAAAGTGGAAAAAAATCTTGCAAAAACGGAAAAAAATCTTGGAATACTGGACAAAAATTTTGATACCTGGCCAAGGGGTAATTTAATTGCTATACATAATGCTTAACTTCGTGCAGAGGTAAAGTTAGATTCGATGTCTCCCTAGAATCTGTATAAAATAATACCTGTTTCTGTTATACTTTAAGAATTATTTGGAAAGTTTATTTTTGTCTTTCGCCCAGGTATATCGACTTGAGTCAGACCTTAACCTAGATGAGCGACACATGCTCATGTTAAAACTTTTGATCAGGTCTTATATTCGTTAATTTTAGTTATTCCCATTTAAGGTCTAATATAATCTGATTATACAAGTATGAATATTTTATTATTTCTTCCTTAACAAAAATATTTAGTAGCATACTATATTTTATAAAATTTATTAGAAAATCTTCTTTTATTTTTTTTTTAAATTTGATCTTTCTAAGCTTTTGAGCTTTGCTATGTTTTTTCTGACGTATCTCTATGCATAATTTGTACTCTGGTAAAAAAGCTAACTTGAATCAACGAGAAAAATTTTTTGAATCAATAAAAATTACATAAACAATGAAGAATATCTCCGCTCAAAATTTTTTCTCTTGAGTCAAGTTAACTTTTTATCAGTGTTGGTATTATGTAATATTGATCGTAAAAATATGACTATTAAAAATAAAGAGATATGATCGCATATATGAATATATCTATCGGCAGTAGACTTGACTAGAAAATATTATATTAAAAGATTTTTCAAAAGTATTCGAAGCATACATACATACATATTTCATCAAGATATATTAAGTTATATAAGGTCAAATATTTTTGTATGACTGTACATAGACGTCCCTTCTGTAAAATAATCATAAATTCTTATCCAAAATATGAAAATATAATCAAATGCACATATAGAAACTCATAGATGTGATGAAATCTTATATGTGTATTTATCATTCTTTCCAGAAGGGACATCAGGTCGTAAACTGTCGTTAAATCACTTGACAAATTTTTTTTACTGATTTTACAGTAACACTTGAATACATAAATTTCACGGAGTGTTAGCTTCGACAAATGAAAACACTCTTCGCTCGTCAGCAGCAAGATCCTGCAAAGTTAGCGACGTCAATAAACATTGTTCCAGAAGTCAATCAAAGACAATATAAGGTTACCGAAAATTTATAACTTAACTTTTGTTGTGTTCCTGAAAGCCATTAGAATGCCTATAAAAACTAAATTAAAGGACGATCATCGTTAAAATGTGTGATAATAAGTGATAAGTAAAATTTTGAGCTTTTATAGAACTTTAAAAGCCCACGTCGATTGATACCAATCGCGTGAAAATCACTTAGTTTTTAATTTTTTACAAATTTAAAAAATCACAAATTAATGAAATTTAAATATTTAAAAAAAAATGTTTTATTAAATCGTTACCACGCTTTTAATCTCAAAGAGCTTAAAACAGCAGAAAAAAAAAACATTTTTGATCTCTTCAAGGTCAAAAACGTCACAACAACTTGCATTACAATAGCTTTGTGATTTAAATCAGCGAGAAATTACAAAAATGGCCTTCAGGGTCAACCGTTTTCCTAATTTTTTTCTTACAAAAGTTACCTCAACTTCATTTAAAATACCACTGTTTCACGTTATTGTCATAAAAAAAAATGGTTAATTTTTTGTTTTATATTTAGCAAGAATTGATGCCAGGAAGTGATATCTTGGTCAGTGCCACTTTTCTCGAATATTTAACGTCGAAAAAAATGAGACGGAACCCAAATGAGATGACCAGATCTTTGTTCAAAAAAATTCTTGGGGTAGAAAAACTGACGGAAATCGCGATGACCAAGAAAAACGAACGGCAAAAAATTCCAAAAGACACTTACGATACAGTGAAAGGTCCGTATTTCATTGTAAGGTATTATTGTGGGTTCACCCTATAGTCATCGAGCAGTAGCAAACGAAAATATCTAAAAATATATTTTTTTTTCGGTTCTTCATCATTAGATATTAGATAGTAGATATATTTCTATTAATTAGTTT